TTTTAAATTAACATACATTGGGAACGCTATTAAGCAAAAAAATGCGCCTCTGGTCAAGTGAATGTGTCGATTCTTGTAGAAGGATAACTTATAGGGTGTGTTCAAACAGTTGCCGTGAATGAGAGTGCAGGCTACTCAAACCACAGCCCTAATCCGTAGGTAAGACTGCCTCCCCCCTGTTCGTAATACGTAAACGATAACCGGTTTTCCTTGTCCAGAGCGATCAGCCAATACCCTCCTACCCCGTCCCTCCCAGCCCTACCACCCATCCCACCACCCTCACTGTCCTCGACGAACGTTTACCCAACAGAGCCTCTCCCCCCCAGCCACACCCCACTGCAGAGGACACTACTCACCGCCTCAGTGCAGCATTTTCTCGTTAAGCTCCTACGGCAGGGGTGGGGAAAAATGTTCTGCCAAGGGCCATTTGGATATGTGTAACATCATTCGCGGGCCATACCAAATTATCAACTTAAAAATTAGCCTGTTATATTGATGGCTGGAACTGCTTCTCTTTGGTGAGGCGTGTGATGTTAGCTGATATTGATGATGTTGCTACTCGCAACTGCTTTTCCAGGTTTGCTCCTAGATTTATTGAATTTCGAGTCCCGCCTGCGGTTGCCTCGGCAGGGCCGGACCAAATGATTTCGCGGGCCTTATATGGCCCGCGGGCCGGACGTTCCCCATTTTTGTCCTACGACCACATGTTTTACTTAAAACCATAAAAAACTCACAACTTTAGCGAATGTCACTGGTTGCGCTTGGGTCAATAGCAAAGTGGTCAAATGAGGTTTGTGATCACGGGTGGTAATGGCTCCTTTTATCCAGAGACTGCAATTTTTATTTCTAAACAAAAATAACCGGACTGTGTTTGGTCATTACTTTTCTCATAAAGGGCACCTCCCCCATTGGGACGAGCATATCTCCTACACTTTAGACCTTATGGTTTATGCTTTTATGGGTTTATCAATGTAACCGACTGTGCAGTTTAAAATAAACGAGGATCCAAAGTGCATTACTCAGGTGACTGTTGGAAGCAGGCATTTTAAAGCGCACACTTCACTTACACACATGCAAGCACATGCCAATGAAATGCTTGGGTTTAAACATTATAATTTTAAAAAACACAAATTCCATGAAACGTTCTGAAGGTGACCTGTCATCATTAGCTAGGACCTATCCACTGCTGGATGAATACCACCCCAAGCCATTGCCATCTCTCACGATGAAATAATCCATCTCGCTCCTTCATACGAGCTGATTGAATCGCTTCACCTCTGCAGTGAATGCCCTTTGGGCGTGTACCCTCTCCCTTGGCTGCCACTATCACTAGTTTCAAGAACTGTCACACCTGCCCAAGCCCACTTCTGTTACTTAATAGTCAATATACTTTAGAACTCTAATCTATTCTCTTATCCACGTGTTTTATCTTTTTAGCGCAATTCTCGACTTCTGTTCTATTTTATTAGTCAATGTCCAGGTTTCTGATCCATGTTGTCGCAGGTAATGTGCATTCATTAAATATTGACCTATCTGGACAGACTAGGGAAGTTGTTTTTAAATAATTCTAAATTTACTCCCGACCACCTCTTTATTTAATAACTTTCATCTAACTGTGCCTAAAGTAACTTCCCCAAGTACAGGACACATATTTTGATGTTTTCCAGTTTTGCCCCTCTGAGTATATGGTCTTGATAACCATAATAAGTAGCGTTCATATGTTAGCACAGATGAAAATCATTTATATGTTTATTAAGTCGTGGGGCAGGCATATAAATGCTAGCAATTTACAGAATATGGTCATTATCATTGTGCTGTGAATTGTAACGTTTAATTATGCAGTATGCACCAACTTGTTTGCAACCAGTAAATGTACATTCAGCTTAACCAACAGCATTCAAATAATGAAGCAGCCCAAAATAATCATTTTCGGAATTTCGATTTAAAGCGTTCGTGACTGCAGGGATTCATCTTCTTGGTTCTTTCGGTAAAGTCACGTAGAATTGAAATAATAAAATAATAAAAATAAAACATAATAAAATAATTCTCACGACGTTTCGGCCACAACGCAAGTAGCCGTCCTCAGGTGGAGAACAGGTCTGTCGAGGAGACAGAGTCAGAATGAACGTCGTGAGAATTATTTTATTATGTTTTATTTTATTATTTTATTATTTCAATTCTACGTGACTTTACCGAAAGAACCAAGAAGAATTATTTCGGAACTTAAAGAAAAAAATAATCTCACATGTATCATGTGACCAACTCCCCCTCTGCAAATAATGTATTTCCACGGCCACCAATCAACACACGCGCATGCTTCGTGTTGTCGCCACAAAAACGCGACACGGTTCGACGCGGTTCGCAGACTTGAAAGGTGAACCGTGGGGTGGGGAGGGAGGGATGAGGAGAGCGCCGGAGGAACAGGGGGGTACAGCTCGAGTATAAATAGGGTTGGGCTGGGATGTTGGGTTAAGTTGGGTAGGGTTGTGGGCAGGGCAGGGTAGGGTTGAGTTGGGCAGGGCAGGGTAGGGTTGAGTTGGATTGGGCAGGGCAGGGTAGGGTTGGGTAGGGTTGAGTTGGGTTGCGTTGGGCAGGGTTGTGGACAGGGTTGGGTTGAGTTGGGCAGGGTTGTGGACAGGGTAGGGTTGGGTAGGGTTGGGCAGGGTTGTGGACAGGGTTGGGTTGAGTTGGGCAGGGTTGGATTTAGTTGGGCAGGGTTGTGGACAGGGTAGGGTTGGGTAGGGTTGGGCAGGGTTGTGGACAGGGTTGGGTTGAGTTGGGCAGGGTTGGATTTAGTTGGGCAGGGTTGTGGACAGGGTAGGGTTGGGCAGGGCAGCAGCCACTCACTCCCCGAGTCACGGGACTCGCTGGTGACGACGACGTTCAAGCAGCCAGCAGCCCAAGGTGTGCTTGGCATACAGCTAACATGCTGCCGTACACTGTACTCGCAAAGGCAGGGCAGAGCAGTACACGTGTCACTTCAAGCCGCCTTCGAAGAGTCTAGCTCGAAACGAGATGGCTTTTGCGAGCAAGCCAAGATTGTTCCAACTACTTATAGAACAATGCAATAGAATTATTGTAGTCCACAGATATTTTACGCGTTAATGTATATTTATATCATCTCGGCGTTATGCTTTTTGCGTGACTGTACTATTGCCATAGGGTATAGCACATCATACGTTCGTGACATATTTGCAGCAGCAACAACTAAAACATGAGTTTTGCAGGTTGCACGGTAAGACCCAAATGTGAATTTCGCATCGGAAGGCTACCGGTCAACGCTCTCTCTACACTGTATACACTGGGCGGGTATTCGATGTGCTGCATAGCAAAAGCATGACACACCACGACAACTCGAGCGAAACACATCGGCATAGGTATTTGTAGAGCGCATTGCAGCAATGGACCATATGTAAAGAACTTAGAAAAAAAAAGCTGACGGCTTTTAAATATATTAGTTACGACAGTAAGTCGTGTAAAAGATTAGTGTATACAGTTGAGCCGTAAAACAGTATTTTGTTTCTAAATTAAACAGCCAAAAGTTATTTTCCAGCACAGCTTCTACGCCAGTGAGGAAATTCCATATTACCACGGATGAATCTATCCACAGGACAATCACTGTTACACGGTAGGCGACGTACGGTGCGAAAGAAGTTCAACACACGAAGCACTCATTGTACGAAGACCTCATCCCCATGCCATGTCGGTTAGAGGGTTTTTTTGACCATACTTCACCACGCTGGAAGAGAGGGGGGCATGAGCTGTTCTGATATCAATGTCCACTGATACTAAACCACCCGGGTAACTGAACTCGCGTTACCGGATTCACAGCAGTGACCTAACCACTGTCCCACCACTCCACCAGCACATACAGCAGTATTGTGCCCGATGTGGTAATGCAGTGAATGTGATACCACTATGAAGTGTATCCTAGCCACAGTGCTTCATACACGGGCTGCCCTTTTCTCAATCCACTGCTGGATGAGGCCGTGCCCGCTCTGTGCAGGTCGAGGTGTCTACGTGACCACACTGCAAGTTAGTCCAGGCAGAGGATGGAGCGGAAGAGTACACTTCATTTTGCCGCACTATCCGCCAAAAAACCACGTAACCCCCCCAGTCTCAAACCCCGAACCTTAGAATTGAAATATCAACGCTGTTAAGAATTTAATGAATCCATTAAGGCAACACAGTCAGCTCCAGCGTGACACGTTTACAGGCGTAGACGAGTCCACCGTGGGAATGAGTTAAAAAGGGGGGTAATCGTGGGGGGCATCTCTGAACCAATTCTAGATTTGAAGCTTTCGTGACTGCAAGGATTCATACTCTTAGGTTTTTTAGGTAAAGTCACGTAGGTAAAATAATAATAAAATAATAATACATGAAAATAACTAAATTAAATAATGACGTTTCGGAAGTAAAATTACTGTTACAGTAATTACTGCAGCAGTTACACCTGATGACGGAGGCTTGTGTTGCTTCCGAAACGTCGTGATTTAATTTAATCATTATCATTTATTATTATTTCATTTTATTATTAATAAAATAACAAAATTAGTTATTTTCATTTATTAATATTATTATTTTACCTACGTGACTTTACCGAAAAAAACGAAGAATATCTCTGAACAAAGTCTAAGCCCCCCCCCCCCCACAAGACGTAACTGGGCCCCCCACAAGAAACACCCCCCCCCCCCCCGCAAACGTGGCCGAGATGGTCTCGCCCGCCGCGCGAGCGCCGCGTCTGATTGGCCGAGAGGCCCGCGACGCCAGCGCGCGCCTTACGCATCGCGACCGCGCCTCGCAGAAAAGTTACCAAGATACACGACGACGGAGATAAACATTTACAAACTTTTTTCGCGCTCTCTCTACAATATCCACACTTAGCAGAACAGTTGTCTTGTACACGAGTGTATACTTGCAGCACCAACATTACACGGCACTACAAAAGTTGTCAATGCTGCCCCCCCACCACGATGAAAAAGAACGACTCCTGTACTCACATCCATACTGAGGTCGCCCCCCCGCAGCGTAGCCGGGACTGTCCATCTCGTCAGACACGGACATGGCTGCTGCTGCTGTTGTTATTGCTGCTGCTTCTCTCTCTGCCCCTCACGCGGCGTTCCCGCGCTTTTGTCGTCCCCGTACGTCCACCCTCCCGCGGGACGCTCCTTCTTGACAAGTCCTTCTCGTGCGCAGTTGACTTGAGCTGGCTCTGCTGGCTGGCCAGAGAGACGAGAGAGGGGGGGGAAGCGCTGGAGCTCTTCCCGCGCTTTCTCTGCCGTCCGCCCTCACGGTTCCCCTCCGCGGCTCGCTCGCAGCAGGAGGAGGGCGCGCGTAGCTCCCAGGCTGCGGGGGGGGGTGCAAGGAAAATAAAGGGGCGGGGCTTGATTTAAAGGGGCGTGGCTTAGCGAGAGGCGGGGCCTGATTTAAAGGGGCGTGGCTTAGCGAGAGGCGGGGCCTGATTTAAAGGGGCGTGGCTTAGCGAGGGGCGGGCCTGATTTAAAGGGGCGTGGCTTAGCGAGAGGCGGGGCCTGATTTAAAGGGGCGTGGCTTAGCGAGAGGCGGGGCCTGATTTAAAGGGGCGTGGCTTAGCGAGAGGCGAGGCTGACTTGGGGGGCGGGGCCTGATCGAGTAGGCGGGGTTATCTCGCGGAAGAGGCGGGGCTTGCATCGCTAACTAGTTGGTATTGCTACCTAATTTGGCAGTGGTTGCACAAAGATTAAGTGATAGCTGCCAAACCCATATGGTTTATTTCTAGATTTGAAGCTTTCGTGATTGGAAGGATTCATACGCTTAGGTTTTTTTTCGGTAAAGTCACGTAGGTAAAAAAATGTAATTAAAAAAACTACTAAAAGTAGTAATAGAAATAAAATAATAAATCACGACGTTTCGGAGGCAACACAAGTGTCCGTCATCAGGTGGGGCCATATGGTTTACCCCGTAATCTTCTTGTAAAGGGAAAATTAGTTCTGAGGTCTATACTGTATAGCCGTTTGAGGTCTACAAAGCCGTTCAGTAGAAATGCCCTACAAAAAGAAAACTATAATCGGCGACGTTTCGGGCAATGCCCCTTCTTCGTAGAACACAGATTGAGAATCCAGAGAGAGATATATAGTGGATGAGATTTGGAGATTGTACGTTACACCATTGAGACCTTATAAGCATCTTCTTGATTCTTTCGGTAAAGTCACGTAAAATGGAAATAATAAAATACAGACTCTGTCTTCTCGACAGACATGTTCTTCACCTGAGGACGGCTGCTTGCGTTGTGGCCAGGAGGTATGCAGTCAACAATGCTTGACTCAGGGAGGAGGACGCCCCTGCCATGCATAGTCCCATGGGATGTTGGCTATCAACAACAAGGCAACTCCTATGACTAATTGGAAATGGGACGCAAGCGTAGGATTGATCACCCTGTCGCTGGCCGCCTTTGGGGAGGGTGTATAGTATGAAAGGCCGAAACACCCTAGGACCCAAAGGTTCACTACTGACGATGCGCTCCCCAAATTTCACCAGGCTCACTGTTCATGAACTCTTGGAAGTGCTTGCACAAAGGATAGTAACATCTCATCCTGTGTTCTTTGGAATCTGAATTTTATTATTTTCATTTTACGTGACTTTACCGAAAGAACCAAGACGATTAATCCCTGCAGTCACGAAAGCTTTAAATCGAAACCTTATAAGCAATTATTTATATTTCCTGAGAATATGGTTTCACTTGGTCGAACGGTGGCTTTGGGCACGGGGGGCGGAGCTTACAACCGGAAAAGGGGCGGGGTTTACGAGAAGGCGGGGCTAAGACCTCTGAAAGGGGCGTGGTTACTGGGGGGTGGAGGCGGAGCTACTGAGGGTTGGGGCGGTGGCGGTGCCACGCGGAGGGCCCAGAGTTTTCACCCCACGTGAGAGCTTTTTGGTTATTTCATTCTCACTTTTCATCAGCGCTGACCGAAGGCTATCGTTATTTACTGCTTATAAAGTTCGTTATGTTAACGTCTTTTTTTTGGGGGGGGGGGGGGGGGGGGTTCCCCACCACTCATTAAAAAAGAGAAGAATTTTTTTTTAAAGAGAAAAATAATAATAAAAATATCCACGGGCGCGCCGGGATGGATCGACAGCGGCGAACTTCACGAAATTGACATCGCCAATGATCGTCCGCGCACTTCCTCGGATCTCGCGTGACTCTTCGAGCGGCACAGAGAACGAGAGGGCTTAACACGTGGTGACGCTTTAGGCAGTGGTTGCACGACTCCCAATTAACGAAACCAACTCGGAGACATTGGTCACGAGCATCGTGGCCTCCAAAATGAAATGTCATGGGCGAAGTTTTGGGCGATGACCCTTTGCAGCACCTAAAGAGGAGAAGGGGAGGGGGTGACGGATGACGCCTGCGAGTGTTTTTTATTCGGGACTGGGTGGAATGCATTCACTATCTCATGAAGCCATCAACTGTATTCAGAAATTGGACACCCATTCGTGATTGCTACACAGATGCTATCCGTATGTCAGGCGTGTGTGAGTTTACAGGCGATGGTGTTGAGGGTCACCCAAGAAGTCGTTCACTTGTTCGGCCACGTCGCACCCCGGGGCTACAGTGGAAGTTTGACTGGAAATTTATGTATTTATCCAAGCTCTGGCAGCATAACATACGTTAAAATATTTATACATAATTTCTAAACATTCACAAACAATGTACTGGGTATACATAGCAGGATTTTAAGCTTTCGTGACTGCAGGAAACCATACTCTTTGGTTCTTTCGGTAAAGTGACGTAGTTTTATTTTATTTCTAACTTCGTGACTTTACCGAAAGAACTAAAGGGTATTAATAGCAGGAGACAAGTCTTTGCCATTCAAAGCAACATCCACATTTGTTAACCTATTGACTAAATCGCTTCAAGCCAAAATGAAACATACCCCCTTGTACCACGTCATTCATATAATACTTTAACATTATTGGCTTTTAGAAGCTTTTCAACCACTGCTTGAGTGTTTCACATATGCCCACTCATTCTCACCCAATCACTTGACAGCCCTAGACGCAGATATGTTTAAAATGAAAATTATCCTTAAAGTGGCTTCCCAAGAGGATTATTGAACCATCCATTTAGATGATCAATTTGTAGTATAAATTGCAATATATAAAAAAAATTGTATGCACATGTATTTGTGTTTATCATACCAAAGCCTAAATTACGAAACAGTAAATAATGAAAATCTTGACTTAAAGCTTTCGTGACTGCAGGAATTAATATTCTTTGGGTCTTTCGGTAAAGCCACGTAGATATATTCAAATAAAATAAAAAATAAAATAAATTACCGAAAGACCCAAAGAATAGGAAATATTTTGTAAATTCAATCTAACTAGGCTTTACAAAACTAGGAGAAAATTATTAATTTGATCATGGAAAACATTTATAACAATCTTAAGTACGTTATGGGTAGCTCCATGTTCAGGGCTGTTAGTGTTTGGCCATCTGGAACATGTTTTCATCAGTATTGTAAATAATATTCCTCGGAAAGGCTTACATAAAAAAAAAACATGCTTTTCGACGTGCTGCATGTTTTAAAAGTCAGCCTTGATATACAAGTAATTATTTCAACACACACTGTACTGTTTGTCTAAAGCCAAATTCCTAAGTTTCCCAGTGTTGCAACTGCAGTAGCATTACTATTTGGTTTATGATACATTGCAATATAAGTTTACTATTTGCATTTTTTTCAGTTTACGAGTAAATTTTTCAATGATTGATACCGTATAAATGAACGCCACAATGAGCATCCTTGTGGAGAAGAAAATTACATTGGTGTGCCACTCCCTGAGTGTGTTGGCGCATGTTGTAATCCTGCATTGTGGAGCCGAGGGTTGGTAGATCAAACAAGCGTTGCGAAACGTACTTCCCGTGGGCATCGCCAGGACAATGCAGTACAACAAAATGTGGACTCTCTGTTTGTATGGGATAGAGTGTTTCCCCCTCGCACGCGTGGGTTTTATGCGGGCACTCCCGTTTCCTCCCACATGTAAACACCGATTAATTGGCTGATAATATAACACCGTAATATATACAGAACACCAGAGCTTGGGAAATTGTTGGCAGCCAGCTTAGCGCAAGGCTGCCTTCCCACTTGACCTGTGGTTTATCACGCCTCTGAGAACATGGATACTGTTACAAGTTGAAATTATGGTTATTCTCCACAATGACGCTAATTTTTATCTTGTTATGTATTCCGTGGCTTGCGTCCAAATTGGAGCCATATCTAACAGAGGGTGTGTTGAACCAATGCTGCTGAAATTATGCATTCTTAGAAAGGCTTGTGGGTGATTGGATTTGTAAAAAAAGGTAAAGGTACAGATATAGGAATGTGTATTTTGTTTCCTTATCATGCCACATTGACTACAATGTTCTGTCATGGAAATGTAAAAAAAGATAATTTTGATGAAGCCGCGAGTTGGTAAATATCGCCCTCTCGTGTTCAGTTTTGTTATAACTCGAAAACACCCTGCTAATTAAGTGCACTCCTGTATGGTATCCACTATTCAAGTATACAGGATAAAATCGAAATGTACGATAAGTGGGAATTTGTTTCATCATGTTATTGAGACCCACAACTTATTTATGTGAAAATCACGTGGATAGAAGTGAACAATAAGTTTTCAAAAATAATCTCAAGTGGCAAAAAATGCAAGCTTCTCCCCGACGGGGAATTGAACCCCGGTCTCCCGCGTGACAGGCGGGGATACTAACCACTATACTATCGAGGATTAGCTATGGGCGTTCCTGAATCGTAACATATCGAGATCTAAACAAGTCAAAAAATTATGTCGCGGGTAAGGATTTTACGTGAGAACGTTGGGCGGGGGAAACAAAAATCTGTTTTTTTTTTGCGCAGATTATTAAACGCTCGATGAACTTCACCTGACAAAAGTAATGTGCTTTTTAAAAAATAAATTTAAAAAATATTAGCTCTCCCCGACGGGGAATTGAACCCCGGTCTCCCGCGTGACAGGCGGGGATACTAACCACTATACTATCGAGGACCAGCTGGCATCGACACTGAACCGTGATGTACTTAAAGCTAAAGAAGTGAAAGACTAAATCAGGGACGCTTTTGCGATCAATAGTATCCATCATAGAGGTGTTTTTGGGTTAAACCCGCCACCACCGGACATCAGGCCGATGAAGATCGTTGTAATCAACAGCGAAACGTCGTACTCGAATTGTAAATGTTGTGGGTTTACTCTCCCACATTTATATTTACGCGAACTAACCCAAAACACATTGCTTAGGGGCCGTCCATAAATGACGTCACGCACCTGGGGGGGGGGGTCAGACATTTGTGACGATATGTGACGGGGGGGGTGAGAAATGTGACGTCACATCAAAACGCGCAACTTTAAATAAATATAGACAACACGTTCTACTTAATTAAATAGACTTTTTAATAAATGTTTTCTCCTACAACATCAGATAGCAGCGCCACGTTAAATACGCACTACAATGACAATAGTTTAAAGCGATTTGAAGTATGTTTTATTTTATTTGGGGGGGGGGGGGGCAGAGCTTTGTGACGTCATATTTGAGGGGGGGGGAGAGAGGGGGGGGTCAAAAATCGGACAAAATCGCGTGACGTCATTTATGGACGGCCCCTTTCCTTGCCGAGGCCGATCTTACCCGTCCAGTAATCTTCTTTGCGATGTGTAACTGCGAATGGTCGAACCACGAGGGGGCGAACTGAATACGCCTCGATACACCAATGGTGTGAATGCTTACCCCGAGCTCTCATACTCTGATGGTGCATTGTCTTTGAGTTGTGCGCCTTTTGGTGTCATCTGGTCCAACACCATGTGAGACTAGGCTCTAAGTCTAAGGAAAGCTGTCTCGGGTGTGGACCAATCAACTTCAAGGACAGTGCATATCATTATCAGTTGTGTTTTTTGTTAGCATTCCGACTGCAGGTATTGTGGTCTATGCAAACATGACTCCTCGTAAAAAAGGTGTCAGATTTGTTGCCAGATAAAAGGGTAAAAAAACAATTATCATATGTTGCTACTGGCAAAGGAGGTTCCAATGGTGTAAATGCTGAACCCCGAGCTCTCATACTCTAATGGTACATTGTCTTTGAGTTGTGCGCCTTTTGGCGTCATCTGGTCCAACTCCATGTGAGACTAGGCTCTAAGGAAAGCTGTCTCGGGTGTGGACCAATCAACTTCAAGGACAATGCATACATTATCAGAGTTGTGTTTTTTGTTTGCATTCTGACCGCAGGTATTGTGGTCAATGCAAACATGACTCCTTGTAAAATGGTGTCAGTTTTGTTGCCAGATAAAAGGGTAAAAAAACAATTATCACGCCTCGATGCGTTTGACGCGAACGGTCAAATCCGCGATGGGGAAGACCCCGCGATGGGCGAGGTTCTGGTGCCCTCGAGATAGCAAAACATCACAGCCCGGATGCAATGGCACCTTTTTAATTTTCTTTTCATATTCTGCGCATTGTTGACAAGTTTACAATGCAATTGAGTTAATGGGTTAATGCAGTTGATACACATGTATTCAAAGCAGCACAGTTTTTACTGGTAGGAACCTCCTTGTTACACTAGCCCACAGGGGATTATTGTGTCCGTCCGTCCATCGTGCAGGGAGGGGCTGGGTGGGGAGGGTGGGGAGGGGCTGGGTGGGGAGGGCGGGGCTGGGTGGGGAAGGTGGGGAGGGACTGGGTGGGGAGGGTGGGGAGGGGCTGGGTGGGGAGGGGCTGGGTGGGGAGGGTGGGGACGGGCTGGGTGGGGAGGGTGGGACTGGATGGGGGGTGGGAGGGGTGGGGCTTGGTGGGGAGGGGCTGGTCGCCCCGTGGTGCCCTTATTAAACTCAACGCTTAACCTACTCACGCCGGCTTGTGCCCGCCCTCACAGTCGGGCATATTTGCGGAATACACCACGCCGCCGTTGACCCTGGCCATTGACCGAGCAACCCAACGTTCCTACCAGCTCCCTCCGCAGGAATGTGTTGTAAGGCACTTCATACATATTTTATTCACCAATTGCAATGCCATTATTTTTAACGTAAGAAGTGCTTCGTAAGCACTTAAAATGTGCGATTAAATGTGCGAAGTGGCGTCTTCGATAAGAAATACTCGGTAGCTTCATTCAGAACAGGATTTTGCAATAACTTTAATGAAGACACAACAGTTGGCAAACTCAAACCCTGAAGCAACAACACGGTCTGTAAAGAGGCAACGACATCAGGCACTAGAGCAGAGCATTCTCAGAGAGCGTAAGAGCGTGATTATGTACAGGCGAGTGAATTTGTCGCGCACAATGAAAACACAAACTATAGATTATGAGACTCAGGTTTGGTCCATTGAGTTTTGAGGGGCAGTGCAGGAACATGCAAGGCTGTGGCCTTCTCACGATGGGGAAGCCTCTTGGCCATTTGGAAATGCAATTTTACTCGATTTCTAAATGTATCTAAGTTGGTTCGGTCATCATTGTATTACAGAAGTAATATAACATCATCATCATTCTCATCATCATCGTCATCACCAACTGTTATAATTTATCTTAATGCAACTTTATATGATTTCCATATGCTATAGTGGCTGGTTGAATAAAATACCTTCATTTTATAAACATCACAATGCTTCAGTGACACAAACTGATGGAAAATGCCACTTAATTTGTTTTACACCACCAGCCAATAGACTGACAATATTTTAATTACTCCAGACCTTTCACCTCCGTTAAATACTGCAGCTGTCAAAGTTTAAACAATGTACATTGTAAAAAAGTGTTCTCATTTACAGTAAAATTCCACGGCACCCACTTAAAACAACATCGACTTCACTTTATCCTGTGATTCAGAACTTCGGAACACTTGTTTCACACAACGCATGCAATTTTTCCAACGGCGTAACAAACATCGTACACGGGTATATTTTACAGGGTAACGTAATTATAAGTTTTACAAATGCCACAAACGTTTTACAGATAGCAGCAATTTAGAAAGCACGTTCAAATATTTTTTTTCTTGTTTTGCTTTCACATGGCTTTAGTTACAGCAAATGCCACAGATATTTGATGGAGCTTTGGCACATGCGGTGTGTTAAAGACATAAAACCTAGGCCACAGACCAGAAGCTACTGCAATGCGGTCCAGTGGTGTAACATCATCAGTTTACGTGTTTCGTGTGGTTGCTCATTGCACAATGCGCGTGGCCGCTTCGGTCCCCGTATGTGTGATGTTGCATCTGCTGTGGTTGGGCATGATGTACTACTACTGTGTTGGCCTTCACTCGCACCTCCTATAAGCACGGTTGGCTACGTACGACAAGGCCGTAATTATAACATATATTGGGGGCACACACATCCCCCCCCCAATATTCAAATATGCTCAAAATGCCCTCCCCCCCTCCAATATATTGCTATAAAATAGATTTCTGTTTATGTTATTGTTGTCATGGTTGTACTTAATTAATCCCTAATCTCTGCCATTACATACAATGAAACAAGAAAAAGGTCAAAAAGAAAAAAACAGAGCAATGTAATACAATACCCTATTAGACATTATTGTAAGAAATAAATAAAAAGTAAATCCCATGTGTTAGTGCATTTTTTTATGTTTTAGGCAGGAAATTCGTTTTCAAATTTAGATAGTTTTTCTGGGGGGTGACCCCCCGGAAAATGTGGTCCCCCCCCAATGTTGACTCCATGGCTATGGCCTTGACGTACGGTGCGAAAGAAGTTCTACATACATACCGTCTTTTCAGCTGTAGCATCTGTGATGTTATCAGTGTTCTTGTGTGTCGCTGACCGGCATTTGTTATGTCGTGTACAATTATATGACTGTTGTAATGTGAATGTATGTGTAGCAGTTGCATGCAATTATAGGCATCATTTGTTTGGGTCATCAGTATTGACATTGAATTTAGTTGCACGTGGCTGAATGCCACCTTTGGTAGTATAATTGTTGTCGGGGGAACTCGTTATTTGCCATGATGTAAATAAATGTAAACACAAGAATAACATCTACATGGTTCATATGCTGTACTGTATACTGTATACAATTAGAGGTTAGCCTTCATGGGATTGCACCTAGTCAAATATATAACGCTCAAATACGAATGCAGTACAATGTAGCATTTGTAGTTCCTCCGATTAGCACGGTTGGCTACGTACGGTACGAAAGAAGTTCAATATACATATAATTGAGAGCTGCATATTCATTTTGAGGTTGATATATAAACCACATTTTATTGTGTATGCCAACTTAAAAGTTAAAGAATTCCACCACTCGGACACAGCAATAATCTGATTATGGCCCTGAGTCCATGGTGGGATTTCAACATTCCTGTGGCAAAGGGCAGTTAACCCATAGGTCAATCACTACTGTGTATACATTACACTTTGAATGACATGGAGAATTACAGCATATATAAGAATATATTATAACATTTAAAAAAATATAATGACAGTATACAGATTAATATATTACATACGGTAGTACGGTAATGTCATAATAATAATACATTACAAAGTGCCATTTTAAAAACAATATCCTTAATACTGTATTGGGAAAAGCATGATTAATTTGGCGAGCACCCCCAGCAATTACCCATAGTGCATCATCCATGCAGTAAGGGGGTGCGGCAGGGGCAAAGCCATCGGATATAAATCTGCCCCCCCACCCCGGCCCTGCCAGCTACCTTTCCACTTCAGGTTTGTGGATATCACAATACATACAAAACTGACCTTCTTACCACCGCAACGTAAGCATGGCCAGCTGTGGCTACAGGTGGACGTGTCAGTACGTGTTGCTGCGCCCGTGCATGTTGCGCGCGTGCGTGCGTGCGTGTATCTGTGTGTGTCTTTGTGTGCGTCTTGACCCTGGCAGCGGGACCAAATGGTAGCCCCCCCTCCGCTCACATGAGAACGATGTTGCGCGTGTCAGGCAGCCGGAAAGCGATGAGTCCTCCCAACGTCAGGACGGTGGAGGCGATCAGGATGGGGACCACCTTGGTGATGGTCACCAGGGAACCGAAGATGACGTTGCCGAGCACCGCGGCGAGCCGGCACAGGCAGTTGAGGAAGCCGAAGCCCGTGACCCTGTCACGGGGTAGTTGCGCACAATAAGGTTTCGCTGGTAAACAAGGTGGCTCAAAGTGCAAGTCGGTGTTGTGCTCCATGACCTCATCGTCATTCAGTGTTCGATTACTTGACCTACGAAGAGACTCATGGCCACCGCCGGAGCAATGTGAAGTGTCCACCTCGTGCTCTCTTTTAGCCCCGCCACCCCCCCCTCCCGATACGTTCCATTCATTGGCTACCACATTCTGCTAAGCTCCTCCCCCCCCTCTTCTCCCCCTTAACTTGTATTTAAGAGCTTGCATCTTGATTCCCTGCCTCACTTGATGCAGCAAATCTGGCTGTGACGGTCCCACCTGATGACCGAGACTTGTGTTGCCTCCGAAACGTCGTGATTTATTATTATTTTATTTTTATTAATTTTAATTTAATTTTTTACCTACGTGACTTTACCGAAAGAACTAAGAGTATGTCCACCACTGCCTCTGGGCAGCCGACGGAGGTCGAGCACCCTTCAGTTGTAGTGTTAACAGGAAGTTACTTTGATTTTATCATGATCACTTTCATGAACAATGACTATGAGGTCATTTTGAGCATGCAGACATTGGGAGATTTTGCCTTGTTTGTTGTAACGAACACATTCCCAACAATATATGTACAGGTGAAAGGTGTTTAGACTGCATGGCATTCTTGGAGAGATCCACAATGCTTGTTGATATAACCACTTAACGTACACAGTATGGACCATAATACAGGTTTTTTGGGGTTAGATCGCGTAAATATATTACATTTACAATCCGTACATTTTGTGGCTTGGCTCTCCAACACACCGGTGTGCTGTACTAGTAACGAGTTTGCATGTTCTGTTTACGTGACAAACCTTACTAATTGGCTGTGTCGGGTGGTGGCGGGTTTAACGACACATTTATATATTTATGCGATCTAACCCAAAAAAACCTGCATTATGGATGATATTGGTCGTGAAAGCCTATGTGTTAAACAGTATATGGAAGAAAAATTTAACACCGAATTTTGCGTCAGAGGCCCTCCTTCACATGTATGGTCTTACAAAACATAGGCAATGTACTTGTTTTATTGCCATACACTAGCCAGCTCACCGACCCTGCAGGTCGATGTCTCACTGACATGATCTTTGCACGTTCCACAAGCTCCACAGTGCTGAATTACCAGCTCGCACCACCATGCCCAGCTATACAGGCAGTCCTCTACTTAGGATGGAGATGCGTTACGATGTACCCCATCGTAAGTCAAAAATATTTTAAGTCGAAGATGGCCGAGCCTACATGAGCGAACACCGAGACAACTTAACTCCGTCGACCGCCGGTGAGAGTGAGGCATCATCACACAAGGCGGGAGATGCGTACAGTACATCCCGACAGCGTCCCAACGTACAGTATCGTACCTCGTACGCTGCTGTGTTTGCCTGCCGCGCGAAATTTACAATATTTAACAATTTTGTCGCATCGATATCGCCATCGTAAGATCGAAATATCGTAAGTCGGACCGTCGTAACTCGGGGACTACCTGTACATGTTGGTCAACAGATTTCTGTATCATTAATTTCTTATTAAATATTTTAAGTATTAAATCGTTTTGAGCTCGTCTGACCCCGGTGATAGTGTCCGGGGGCTCCTTGTGCAGAAGGCATTGCAGTTGTCACCTGCGGTCAGTTGGGAAGAGCTCAACGGTGAGCACGTCCAGCGAGTTCCACGCCGAGATCGTGAGGCCGTTATAGAGGCACAGCATGCCGATCATGGTAGCGCCGCTGTTCCCGAACCACAGCAGGAAGCAGCTGATGCCGGAAAGCACCATTGAACCACCTGAGTGAGGTATGCACACACACAAGCACACAAATATAAACACATCACGCGTAAAAACTAAGATTCCCCATTTTTCAAAGAAACCTCTTATTTTAATTAAAATTGTCCCAAGGTGTTATATTGCTAAAGCCAATGATGACGGTACTTCAGACACGATGCCAAAGATGCACCATTTACCCTACGGGATTTTGGGGTAAGGGATGTGAGTGAGCATCTATTCAGGTCGACATGAAGGTACAGCATGCACACCAAACTCGACACCTATGCATTGACAATTATAACCTGCTTTAAAAAAAACTGCATTGAGGTGGTGCTCATCTGCTCACAGCCAACAGTGTAAATTCCACGTTCCTATGGCAATGGTGAATCTATTTATAGGACAACCACTGTTGACATCCTCACAAATTTGTACACATTTTATCGACCTCCAAACAGGATTTGACCTCGCAACCTTCCGATCGTGAGCAGCTCACGCTACCGCTGAGCCACCTGGCAGGATTCTAGCACGTGTATGCACAAAAGCATGTGGGTTTTGTTCAAAACACAGCTGCATACGTATCTGTTTACTCTTGCAACCAATTGCTTGGTTGCTTGCAAAGCACTTTTTTGATTATCACGAAAATTGCCTCGGTTCTTGATGCAGGGGGGATTTGCTAACATGTGACCAAATCAAGTGCAAGCAATAAACCGAGATAGTTTTTGTATTTTTTTTCTAGTCCGTGAACGGTATTATACCATTACTCTCAGCATGGGGGGAGTGCAATGTTCATTTTCTGCTTGTTTCTCTCAGGGCTTGACCTGAGAATCTCAAGAGACCGTGGTGGTGGTGGTGGTGCATTACTCTGATGTTTTACCTTGCACGACATGGAATGTCGCTCCTTGTGAAGCACTGTTCGCAATCCAACCATGTGCAGTTTATAACTGAACAATAGGCGCTCAGTTAGCAGCTTATATTTGAGGTATTTTTCAATGAAAAATACTAAAGTAATAGTTATGAATAAATATACTTATCCGTTATATGTCCAATAAGGTTGGGGTTTTTTTACATCAGGAAATAACTAATGCTCAAAAGGTTATATATATACACGTACAGGATTTGTCTTTACACCAAAACCTTTTTAATTACTTTCTTCGCCTTAACATTGCCGGGGCTATTCAGGAAGACGTCTATGTTCTTAATTGCAAAACATATGCATGCTGTAATTAATTCCGAAAAAGAGGTTAAATTCCCTGATGCCTACAAAACCGCCACACCAAGACCCCCTTTCCAAGAATGATCCCCACCCTCTGGCTTTTATGTCCTCACTTTGGTCATCAACCTTGAGGTACAACTCCAATGTCGGTTTCGTTAACCTCTCTTCCAACCTGCCGACACAATAGCAGGGTTTGTTCTACCAGTCTTGCACTCGTCACATAGTTTGAGTACATTGTCACTCTGTGCCAACCCTTCTTCCCATTAGCTCATTACATCCTCCAGCAGATACAAACCTTCTCACTCCCCCATCATTCTCAATAACCATAATCTGCACCTCCTTCTGATTACGTCTACACCACTTTATTGCCATGTTTGATGTAATAACTGAGATGAATTATAAGTTACTTACAAATATATATGTACAACATTTTATATCACTTTTATAATGATGTCCGAACAACTACATTTTGTATTTCACGTGAGATACAGAAGAGAAAATGTCAACAAATCAATACACTACTTAAGAACAGCATTTCTGTATTGGTTATTACATTAATATTATATTATCCTTCTGGGTTATAGTATAACACCTTTTCTACCATCATTGTGCCGCTGCTGTATGTGTATGTAATGCAGGTAAGATAATACATTTGGACTCTTTAGAAAAGTGTTGTTGAGCAGTACATTTCGCTTAGGAGGGACGATGGCCATTGGTCAATAACGTATCATGGACAGACTGCCAACGGAGAGAACACCATGGAGATGGAGTGATAAAAGCAACTCGTGTGCAGGTGCTAGATGGATTGCTGCATCTAAAGACTGCAGGATGGCGATGGCATGTGGAGTAATTCATCCAGCTGTGGATTTATCTTGGCTGATGATGATGAGGAAAACAATCGACCGTGCCATTAAATACACTACCTAACCACATCATGATGGCAGTACTATTACGACACGATCTTCTGTGCGTGATGGTATAACCACCTTGCTACCATTTGTTTTACTGCTGCTGCTGCTGTATATTCCGTCAATTTGCCAGATGCACACAGACTTTGGAGCCGGCCTCTGTCCTAAGCCAGCAGTGTTTTTAAATGTTTTTTATAGGCCGGTACATCACGCCGAAAGATTCCAGTGGCAGGGTACAGAGGTACAGAGTCTCATCAGGTGAATCCATTCCGGCGCGACGGCACCACACGACAGGTGAGGAGGGGGCAGGGGGGCAGGGGGGCAGGGGGGGGTGTAGGGCCCAGCTGCCCCAGCCAAGTGGGACCCCCCCCCCCACCGCGTAGTCAGGGAGATGAAGCTCACCCAGCATGTTGAGACGGCCGATGTGGTCCATGAGCAGCGCCGACACAATGTTGCCGGGCAGCACGGCCAGCGTGCCCAGGAACGTGACGAAGTAGACCCAGAAGGCACTGTAGTCATTGCTGTAGCCGATGTGGCAGCCGACTTTGTTCTTCTCGAATGTGGTGTTGAGAAGCAGGCTGCCCTCAAACTTGAACGCGAAGAAGTCTGAGCAGGGGGAGCAAAAGAGAATGTTTGCTTTTGTGGGAAAACAAAGTGACTGCCATTTATACTTATTAAATGATTAACGGTATATCTTCTTGGTTCTTTCGGTAAAGTCACGTAGAAGGGAAATAATAAAATAATAAAAATAAAACAATAAAATACAGGTCTGTCGGAAAGGCGTGTTCTTCACCTGAGGACGGCTGCTTGCGTTGTGGCCGAAACGTCGTGAGAATTGTATTTTATTATGTAAAATTTTATTATTTTATTATTTCCCTTCTATGTGACTTTACCGAAAGAACCAAGAAGATGAATCCCTGCAGTCACGAAAGCTTTAAATCGAAATTTTATTAACGATAGTTCAGATGTTGCTTTATTTTTTTACCGTTAAGCATGAATAAATAGGTGTGGATTTTTTTTTAACTTTCTTTATTAAGGAATATTTAAGTTATTACTGTTATTGTGATTCGTCATATGATTGTTTACAACGAAATGCACAGTTGAATTGTCATATTTTCCGATTGCTTGGACTCTTCATGGCAAACCAGGCTTGTAGAAACAAAATCTCGCGAGGAGTTGTTTCTGTTAAATTACATTTTGATGTATTTACATATCCTCCCATGATCACACTTGTTCATACGTAATTACCGCCACATCTTTACCATACATCCCCAGTACATTATTTTTAGGTGACACACACTCAAGAAGGTCTCGTACATGTTTCGCTCAGTAAACCCTTCTGTCTTGAGGAGACCAAATTATGCGTCACTTTCAACATACAGAGATGGGGGGGGGGGTGGTTTGCGAATGGAATAAAGTAATTGGGCGACAGGACCTGGTTGTCATATTTAATGCGCATAATGTCTGTCACCTATCTAAAAAAAAAGATATCGTCCCCTTGGGGACACATTTAAATTTCACGTCATCGCGGTGTCAGCCCACGGCTGCCAAGCGGAGGTTTGCACCTCCCAAATCCGACCCGAACCACCTTCACATTTTAACCTTTTTTGACAGCTTCTTTGCACCCTGCCACGACGAACAAAGCTCACCTCGCTGCTTATTAAAACACATCAACGTAAAGTGACACAGCGAGCAGACCCACAAGGCAATTAACGCGACTCCGAGATGTAAACCTACACGCGCTATATTGGTCAATGCGTGCTACCGGTTCTGTCGAAAGCCTGTCAAGTGGAACATTTTAATAAGCTTAGTGGGGGTTTTTTTGTCTTCTTTAGAAACATTATAATGCCCTTGTAGTTGCTGCATAGCAATTACAAGTGTTATTAGGTTTTAAAACGTTTTATAGGCACTGTATGCATCAAGATGTTAAGACGAGTCATGGATGATAGCATTATCCAACCACTCGATCATCATTCTCAAGCTGGAATAAGCGGCGTAAGGCTCGCGTGCCACGAACCTGTGTTGTAAAATGTTGTGTTGATGATGGTGCAGTTCACGAAGAAAGTGCTCAAGGAGGTAACGTCGTCAAAGTAGCAGTTTCTGAATATTGAGTTGTTGAACGTTACAGACTTGAACTTCATGTGCACGAACCTGAAAAGATGAAAATGGAAAATGCAGTAAATTGTCAATTAAATCGTTATTTTAGCAGAAACAGGGCTGTAATGCAACTTTGTTTTCGTTAGAATGTAGTCTTTAGTGAATACTTTAGAAATAAATAAACTATATTGTTTGAGGCTCATTAAAATGACCGCTCCTTAAAAATATTCTTTTATATCTCAGTCAGAACTTGGTTCAATCACTCATTGCGAATAATTATTCTTGACTTTACGTTCATATTGACAACATTGAGACTGTAGGTACAGTATATCTAGATTTGAAGTTTTCGTGACTGCAATGATTCATACTCTTTGTTTTTTTCGGTAAAGTCACGTAGGTAAAACATTAAAATAAATTAAATCACGACGTTTCCGGAGGCAACAGAGTAATTGTGCTTTGACGGTTTCACCTGAAAACAGAAGCTTGCGTTGCCTCCGAAACGTCGTGATTTAATTTATTTTACATTTTTACCTACGTGACTTTACCGAAAAAAACAAAGAGTATAGAGTACAGTATATCTGTTGCTCAAAGCTTCCCCATTTAAGTAAAACACATTTTTATAATAATGTTCGTGTAAACTCGGCACATCCATCCAAGTGCCGCCGTGACAGAGAGCCAGCTTCACTGTCAGTATGTGAGTTCAAGTCCCGTTAAGGGGTCAATTGAGCTCACCATCCCTGCGTGATCAATACAATGAGTGTCACTTTTATATGAAGTCAACAGTGGTCAACCTATGGCCAGACTGTCCCCCACCGTGGGGATGTAGATTTCCAACCATCAACAGAATTTAGCACCACCCAGACGCTCATTCGACCACAAGAACTCGTTGACCTGACTTTGACCCTGCATTGTAAACCATACTCACGTTAAGCCACAGTTGTCATTCCTTAACCTCGTTCAACATTTTGTTATTTCCAACCCCCCCCACCCCCCAGAAAATACGGTTGTAACTGCTGTACCAGCTATACAGCAGAGGGAAAATAAATAGTTCACTGCTTTAGCCCACCGGTGTGTTGAAGCGTGAAACCACAACAACACATTTTTTTTTAATGTTGTGGTTTCACGCTTCAACACACCGGTGGGCTAAAGCAGTGAACTATTTGTCTTTTGTCAACGTGACACTTTTTTACTGATTGGCCGTGTCGGGTGGTGGAGGGTTACGACACATTTATAAATAACGCGATCTAAACCCAAAAACGTTGATTATGAATAATATTGGTCGCGAAAGCCTGCTACGTGTTAAACAGAGGGGAAATAGTTGAGCAGCACCTGTCATTGACGAACTCCCCATTGTTGTGGACCTGGTTTGCCATGGAGAAATTAAAGGTGGTGTCCACCACACTCTGCTTGTTGTGGATCTTCAGCAGCTTCGCGTACTCCTCGTTCTGCAGCTGCTTGATTATCTCCGGGAACCATACACTCAGCCCGTAATAGCTGTCGATGAGAAACGTTGCAGCGCAAACGGGACGCACGCGAGCGGTGAGCAAGGCATGCTTGGCGCTCCGACGAAAAGTGGTGCATCCTGAAAAATAGTGCATCCTGTCCAGATATCTAATTTGTTCGCTATAATTAGTTCTCTGATCCATGCGTTTTGTTTTGAGCCTCACTGGTATTTACTGCGCGAGCATAAATGTATATTCCACCAACACATTAATCCTTCCCATTTACATCCCGTACGCCCCAAACCGCACGCAAATTAATTCTACGGCATCATCCAACACGACATTTGTGCAATGAGCCAAGTCGTTTAACAGTGGCATTTCAAACGCAAAGCTACCTGAGTTATATTGCAATTGGTAATGAGTGATGGAATACACTGCACATCTGTGAAAAATAGCTTCAAAGCTCATCGGATTCCTCCAGTATAAATAAACGGTATTATTTATGACACAGTTGCTTCTTACAAGTGACCTGCACGTATCTGGCTGACTGCGGGTTGCTTACCCGAAGGAGAGAGTGCACCAGACAGCCACCAGCATTAAAGAGGTCCTCCTGATGGGACCGGCAAAGCACTTCCGCAGGGTCTTGCATATCTTGGGGAGAAAGGGAAATTAAAGGTTGGAAGGGTGGCGGGTGCAGTGGGGGGGTTAGGGGGCATGGGTCAAAGGTCATGGGTGGAAAAGCATATGCAGAGAGTGAAAGAGTCACTAAGGCTATGGACCATGGTGACAGGTGTGATTAATGAACGCGCCTTTGAAATGTGTGGCCACTGCGGTACGATTGCTACTTTGATGTGTAAGATACATCGCGCGGCGCACACTCAAGACAATTCGTGATTGATCGCAAGGTGGCAGAGGTGCTGGAATAGGATCAGTTGCTAATCGACACGTCATTTATATTGTTCATGAGTGAAAAATAAAGATGTTTATCGCAGGTTTGGAGTGTGTGCATGAATTCTAGCATTCCTTTTCCAACCATTAAGGCACGTACTTTGAATTAATGACTTTTAACATGGGGTTGGTGAATCAGAGATCATCTTATGTGAAACACCTACAGTACCAGCAAGTTTATGAGATCTAGTGTAAGAGGCAATACAGCAACGAGATTGTTGGGCATACCGTGTACGTTTCCATGGTGTTCTCGCACATGGAAACATGCTCATTCATAAGCCACGTATCTTTAACGGGACCTATCTTAAATGTGTTTATGTCGGCTTTCGTGGGTCGAGAATTACACGTATTATTATGCAATGGGGGAGGGGGGGGGGAGTGGTGGTGCAGTGGTTAGCACTGCTGCGCGACGAATCCATCACCCTGAGTTTCAGGGTTCGTGGTAGCGATCCGTGGCTAACACTCGTGACGAGTGCTCCATTGTCCCCTGCTGCTCACAACGTGACCCTGTCCCCACTGCCCCAGCTTCAACAACCCGCATTGGCCAGTGTGGTGGTGTACGTCGATCCCGACCCTGACACCTGCTGTATATTTGGAGTTTGCGTGCCTATCTTTCTCTCTCTGTGTGTGTGGCCTCGTGGAATTTTCTCCAGGTCCTCCGGTCTTTTTTCCTCAACATTTAGAAACATGTGTACAGAGTATTTGGCTGCTATACATTTACACGCGATAAGCCACTTTGTTGGGCGGTTGTTTGTGGCGAGGTCGCTTCTGAAACAGAGCTATAAAGCTCAGTGGGCCTTACCTGGTAAGATATAAACTTATTTTTTTTGTTTTAATAGTTTAAACGCCATGACCGACACGGTGTGAGAGGCCTTCATCCAGCAGTGAATTGACAAAACGGCTGCAATATAATAATAATACGCAACACGATAAAATGTGGACAGTTTTCATGTACAAATCCACCAGTCTCCTTCCATCCAGCTAGAGATTTCATAAAATCCATAACACATCGGTGGTACGTTTGCCACTTAAAGTTTCGCTGTGATTGAACCCTTCAACGCGCGTTTAGAGTGCCCCAATTTAGAATGACGCCAGGGAATTCAACGGCAGTCCCCAATGCGTCGACTAGGAGGCGCTCGAGTTGAAACGTACAACGAGGCGGGCAGCTGTCTGGCATGCCGCAGAGCTGCGTTTACAAATCCCGGCCGGTGCATTGCAAAGTGCGTGCGTAGTTTGGAGACGGGCTTGGCGTCGGTTTTGTGAATCACGTCTGCTGTGCTCAGTGACACCAGACAAGCGAGAAATGTGGAAAGGATTGTCCAACCAGAAGATGCTTAAACACTCCACTCTTTGCTTCGCTCTCCAGTCATGTTTTCGCAATAAATGTGCACGTTGATTGGTGGACAGGATAAGGATGGAAGGTGCAAAGGAATGGGTCTCAATAATTAATAATTGCACTGAGCTCCTGGATATCATAACATAGTACAGGACTGGCATTCCTGGTCCAGTGATGTAATAACATTTTTGAACCAGAAAATCTTTAACAAGTCCAATCCTGGCGAGTGAGGTGTTGGCGCTGGGGGAGTGATATAAACTAACGATGCATCGATTATCCCATTAAAATAGGATTTTTCCACGCATCGAACCCAGCAGATGAGATTATTTTTGATTCGTGTTGTGTGATTAGTTCACACAACATCTGCAGCCACTCGGGTTGCTACGACACACACGGCAGCGTTAAAAACATACGAAATAATTGAGTCTTAATTTGAATTGCGACCCCCCCCCCCCTACAGCTGATAAAATTCGCTGCATACCGTTACATGGTACACGTGTGACCCTCCGCTTTTTTTTTTCATTTTCATTTATTAGGAATAGCCCTGTGAGCCATGCGGCTCTTAACTCGGGTGCAACCGCAACAAACAAAAACATGACCGAAGAACATATTAAAGTGACTAAGCGAAACAGAAACATCCAGCTCCACCTGACGCTGGTGATACGAGGGAGCTCGATATGGAATGCAGCCGCTTCAGTGAAGGTTCGTTCTGTATGTAGGACTTCAAGTGGGATGATAGGCAGCCGGATTGAGTTCGAAGCTTCCAAACTCCGATTGAAGTTCAAATTCCGACGGCTCGGAATGAAGTGATCCACAACGTACAGAAGTTTAACATGCAGTACACACAGAGTTACATGTGATAGGTGGCCTTCCGATTTTCGGAAAACAAATGGCGTTCGTGCTCACGAGAATACCGCACGTACACAATCCACTGCTGGATGAGGGCCTCTCCACCCTGCAGGTCCTGTGGGCCAATTGACCGTACTTCAACGCTGGTCAGCAGGAGTTGGTAAAAGTGGGTGTTATTTACGTTGGAGCACAATTCTCTTGCTGTGGTTTTCCCACCTGATGATGATTGCTTGTGTTGCAATCGAAACGTCGTGATTTATTTTTATTTTATTTTATACCCACGTGACTTTACCGAAAGAACCAGCGAGTATAGATTCCTGCAGTCACGGAAGCTTAAAATCTAGATAAAGATCATGGAGGATATTGCTCCACTGTCCCCTGCTGCTCACAACGTGGCCCTGTAATCCAGAGGTCATCGGGGTCGATCTTTCGGCACACTCCTTGAAACAAGTGGGCAAGCTTCTTTCATCCTCCCACCTCTGTCCACCCAGCAGTATGAGCATGTACACCGTGGTGGATCTGCAGGTCACGTGTGGTGAGGTAAAGTGTGGGTACTCCCATCTCTAATAAAGTGTCTGGACAGTGTGGAAGAGTAGGCCAAATACCCTCTAGAAGGGCACTCTGGTCCTGATGTCCGATTGGATTACTATGCAGTTATTATCATTCGCTTTCATCATAGTCTACATTTTATTGGAATTTCGAGAGTAGTCATTCATATCAGCTTTCTATTTCGATTAGACTTTATCTACGCTTGTGAGTGTAGTTTTTTTTTACGTGCAGCGTTTTGAGATGCTTGAATATGAAAGGCATTTTATAAAATAGAGTGGCGTGATAAAGAAATTGCAGGGGTGCAACTTTACCGTTACATGCAACTGACTGCCTTTACAAAACGTCGTGAGAATTATTTGATTATGTGAAATTTTTATTATTTTATTATTTCCATTCTACGTGACTTTACCGAAAGAACCAAGAAGAAAAATATTCCCACACTGTGCGGTTGTATGTCGCGGCTGTGTGAATCCCAATTTCGTTGCATCGTATCGTATTGGGTATTGCAATACCCGAGATATATAACGGAATTCGGTCAATAAGTAGAAACGAAATATAAAAAAACGGCAACGATATTAAATAATTGTGGGCGTTGGGAGGGAAGTGATAATAGCCTCATGCTGCTCTAACTCACCGCGATAACACTTCTGGAGAACATGTGTAATTTAATTTTGACTGTGGTTTTTCCCATTAGGTTTTTGTACCCTTTTATATATTCAGACAGTGCCACTGAAGTATTATTTAATCGTAATATTGTTTTGCAAAAAAAAATATATTATGCAATCATGTTGAAAGGGAACATTTTTTGTTTGTTTTACAATTGCTAGAGAAATCGCTAAAATATGATGTAAGATTTGCTTTCTCTCGTGCACAGAATTGTTGAGCACACAATGATGTCGCCCGCTGCTCGTGAATTTGTGCGTTCTGTTTGAGGCGCTGTGTGTGTATGTTGAACTTCTTTTGCACCGTACATCGCCAACCATGCTCATCGAAGGTGCGGGCTAACATCTCTGTGCTATGCCGTGGCACGTTGTTGCAATCACCCCACCTCTGCACAATATGAGTCTCACATTGGTACTCTGACCATGGCGTGGGCCTCGCCCTAGATCAACTCAGCCTAAAAATGAATACCTGTCGTTTTATTTCTACGCTGGGAAGACAAAGTAGAGTCCACACCATACTCCCATGTGCCATGCCAGCCTCATTTGCCATCCTATGCTCACGCCCAGAACTTTGTGCCAAACAGCATGCTGCTAGGCAATGGGATAGATTGGTCTTCGTGGGTGTTAGTGTGTACGTGTGTGTGTGTGTGGGGAGCGGTGGTGTAGCGGTTAGCGCGCTGCGAGCCTGGCGATCCGGGTTCGTTCCCGTCCACGACTCAGCCTCAAATGAGTACCTGGTGCGGTGTGTAAACATCGCCACTGGGGAGACAAAGACGGTCGTGCGTCGTGCTGGCCACCCACACCCTCGTGTGCCGGGCTGGCCTTTATAGGTGCTCGCTAACAGCACTTGCCCCAACAGTCTGTTAAGGCTATACGGGGATCTTTGTCTTTTTTTTGGTATGTGTGTGTGTTTGCCTTTGTATATTTTTGTCTGGCGTGTATTTATGTGCGTGTGTGTTTGTATTTAAGCCTGTGTGTGTAGTTGTGTGTTTGAGTGTGGATTCGTGTTTGTATTGATACCCAAGAGAATTAACAAGAGTGCAGAAAACAAATACATAAATACATATTACTTGCGTGTTAATGCGTGTACGTGTTTGTCGGTGTGTCTCTTTACACACGTATGTGTTTTTTAAAATCTACTCATGTTTGCGTGTGTGGACTTATTAAAGGCGGTGTATCACTGGTATCAAGACCAGCCTCTGTGGAGGAGGCCTGTAAAATATTCGAGTGGCCAGTCGGAGGCAGCTGCCCTCCGGCAACAAAGGATGGTGACGGAGAAACTCAGAATAATGGGCAGAACGCCAGGGCCGCTAAAACACAACAGGCTAGGGGCCATCCATTGAGTAGGTACGCAAAATCTGTCAAAACTTGACCCCTCCCCCCCTCCCTGTACGCACGCGTACTTTTTACACCCCCCCACCCCGATTCCTATAGAACGGCCGATATTTAATCCACGCAGAAACGATCAAGAATTAATAATATTGACGTGTTTAAGCAAACAGACAGTCCACCGCCGGACTATCTAACTCATTTGAAGGCCAATGTAGACAAATTATCATCGAGGCTTCACCCCCTCCCCCCCCCGTTTCCTTTGCGCACATTGTCAGTAAACCCCCCACACGCACGCGTACGCATTTGGGTCAACCCCCCCATCCCCCCTCCATGCGTACGTACTCAATGGATGGCCCCTTAGCACATGGGGAGCACAGATGCTCTTCATTCGCCAGCATCTCAGCCAGCTCACCCATAAAACCTGTGCCATGACCTCTGTTGAGTGAGCCTTCAACTCTTCATGTGGCCTCAAAGTGCACGTAGCCTGGCACAAGCAGAGTGATGATTTCACCGCCAATGGCGATTATTGTTACGCGTCCACAGATACGTGTGGGTGAGTCTATGTGTCTCTGCGTGTATCTGTGCGCGTGGGAGAGCAGTGTCATCGTGGGCAGTGCTCCGCACTACGAAGCGGGCGTCCAAATTCGATTCCCGGCCATGGCTAAGGTCAGCGACGATTGACACGCAAAGGGGCCCAAGGCATTCCCCCCCCGCCCCCCCCAGTCAACACACCTTAAGTGAGTATCTGCCACGGTGAGCAAAAGCACTGGGGAGACAAAGGCAGCTGACCACGGGTGCTGTCCACGCCACCTCCTTAAGCGCTGTGCCGACACCATTGGAACCTCATTTGCCAGTCAAACATATAATTGTTTTTTTACCCTTCCATCAAAACTGACACCTTTTTTTTTTACAAGGAGTCATGTTTGCATTGACCACAATACCTGCAGTCATAATGCAAACAAAAAGCATAAATGAGGTTCCAATGGTGTAAATGCTCACCCCGAGCTCTCATACTCTGGTGGTGCATTGTCTTTGAGTTGTACGCCTTTTGGCGTCATCTGGTCCAACACCATGTGAGACTAGGCTCTAAGGAAAGCTGTCTCGGGTGTGGACCAATCAACGTCAAGGACAGTGCACATTATCAGAGTTATGTTTTTTTTTCATTATGACTGCAGGTATTGTGGTCTGTGCAAACATGGCTCCTTGTAAAAAAAGGTGTCAGTTTTGTTGCCAGATGGAAGGGTAAAAAAAACAATTATCGCTGTGCTGACCTTAATAGGTGCTCACTAACAGCGAGGGTCCGTTGATGGTTACAAAAGCGGGGGGGGGGGGGGGATGGATCTGTGGTCTCTGTGCGTGTGTGCAGAGCACCACCCCGTCACTCACCGCGTGCAGCTGCGTGCCCGTGCGCATGGGCCATCGGCGGTACCAGGCTCCGGTGTCCGACGTCATTTCCACCAGCTCGTCCTCCTGCTTCAAGGTCTTGATCTGCGTCACCTGGACAACGGGCACCCGCACGGAGCCGGTCACGTCCGCGGCTGACGCACACCATCGCTGTGTCCGTGTGTACGGGGTACGTTGAACTTCTTTCGCTCCGTGCGTAGCGATCGGTTGCTCTGCCAATCATCGGTTCGATCACTCGACCAATCGGGTAATGCGACAATGGGTCGGGAAATGAGTCTTATCTCTCTCCCCACGTGTGACGCTGGACTGGTTTTTATCGGGGTTTTTTTTTCTTTCACACGTGACGTTTTTCAATGGGTCTCGCGAGAGTTATTGTACCATCAAGTGTACATTCTCACACAGTGCAGTGTCTTGTTGGATACTTCATCCACCTTGTCAATATTCCCTCTTAGCATTCCTCACATTGCCTCTGAGACTCAGCCATAGCCATTGATCATGTTACAATGAGAGCCTTGTGTTGAATACAATTGTGTCAGAACATTTTTGGGCCCGAGATCAGATGTAGAAAAAGTGAACAAATATAAACCTTTGGACAGCAATTCCAAAAACGGCTTTAGCCTGTCCTCTCTGAGGTTGTTCCATACGTGAATCATCTGTCTGGCAAATGCCTAAAAAACATGTATGTCTGGTATATATTAATCCTGCCACTGATACATACAACCTCATGTGCACTAACCCTCATCGAAAACAATCTTCTTGAATATGGTTTAGAGTGAGGTTTTTTTTCTGAATTTAAAAAAAGGCAAAAATTCGAAGGCAGTGTCTTAACTGGAGATGGCACTGCACTGTGTTTATGGTTATCATCAAGTGGTGTCATGCGGTTGGCATGGGCCCTGGCGCACGGATTAACAGGGGGGCTCAACTGTCCAGTTTCCTCATTTTTTTATTTGAGTCTCTCCAGCTCGTGGGTCCCAGCGAAGTTCAGAATCAGAATATTGATCTACACTGGAGGAATCCGGTGAGCTGCAAAGCTCTTTTGAACAGATGTCCAGTAGGGGCGGGTAAGAACGTCACAACAACAATCAACACACAACACGATTGGACAAAGTATAAGAAAGATTTTTAAAAAATCACCAAAATACAAACAAATAAAGCTCAACCATCCTCAGGCAAAGCCCACTGATGTATTCACTTATTTTTCAAAAGCTACCTAGCCACAAATGATAGCTCAACAAATTGGCTTATCATTTGCACATTTACAGCATGCACATTCCATAGCTACCCCAATGTTGATTGGTAACCTTGAACCATTGGTAAAATGTCCACTTTCTTATGGCAGTACCAGGACATCTGGTATTTTTTTTAAAGCATTGAATTCCAACAAAGTGTTTTTTTTTTTCAACTCATAGAAATATTAGTTGAGACTACCCATAACCAGCATTTGAACTCACAACCTTTCGATTGATCGTGGGTTAAGCACTCTGACCCAAAGTCACCTGCATGATCCTGGGAATGCCAGGACACAACAGGTGGCAACTCTGGTGTCACATGGTATGGTCATCAGTCTCATGCTGTTATCAGAATAGCTGATGGCCGCCTCTTCAAGGATGACGCGTCCAGAGAGGGGGGGGGGGGGGGGGTCCGTGAGTTCTGAAATGAGCGTGCGCGCTTACAGTGAAGACTCTTTCGGGGTGGCCCCGCGCGCGCATGTTGGTGTCGTGCACCTGCTTGAGCACCATCCACGCCTCGTCGTGCTTCCCCATCTGTGACACGAACACACACGCACGCACACACGCAGTTTCACACGTAGGCTTTCGCGACTAATATTATCCACGACAGTGTTTTTTTTCTCTTTGGGCTAAATCGCGTAAATATAAATGTGTCGTAAAACCCACCACCACCCGACGCAGCCAATAAACAAGGTTTGTCACTTAAACAAAACGTGCCAATTCGTCACTAGTACAGCACACTGGTGTGTTGGAGAGCAACCCCACAACATTTACAATTCGAGTGCCGTGACGTTTCGCCGGTAATTGCAACCAGCCTCATCCGGCGACAACGAGCTTCGTGGTCTGGTGTGGCCATTTTGTGACCGCTGAGCCACGTGGACACATGATTCTCATTACTTGTAGTCGCATTTTCTCAATTACATTATTGAGCTTCTTGTGGAATATTGATAAAAGTTATCGATGGACCAGAAGATGGCACAACCCAGATATACTTCTGTGACAGCTGGATCGATCCCACTTGCCCCCCTCCGTCATGATTAATCACATTTTCTTTCTTATGCAACCCAATGCACATCTTGGAAGAAGATTCGGAAATGTAATTGATTGGCCAGAAGGTGGGCCAGTGAGGTGAGAATGTGACAATGTTCGTAAGCCCAGTGTACATGGGCATTGATCGTGAACTTTGAGTCATCACAGAGTACACCTGAGTGGATGCTGCAACTATAACTGGTAGGTGAGATTTTTAATTTGTGGAGAGTAGTGACGTAAAATGATATCCATACACCACGGAAATAGTACAGACACCGTTACTCTGGGTGAGATTCCCAACATGCAGGGCTTAACCAGGTGGCCTGTGGATGGCAGTGCAGCAAGTAGTTCGCTGCGAACACCTGTATAATGTTTTTTCAACGTAATGTCCACCTAGGCGTGGGGTTTCCCCAGGTAAATTGTCCTTTCTCCCATGTGCAAGAATATTGAATGAAGAAATTGGCCAAATATCCAAACACTGCACCCTCCTGAAAAATACCATTTACAGTGAATGATGTTTCACAGAGTATGGATTATTTGTATTATTATTATTGTTTTGAGCTGTGCATTGTATGTACAGGGTTGCATTCATGGAATTTAACAGCTCAGCTCAGTCTTCATTGTAATTTTGCGTGTGTTTTCTCTCTCAATCCCACTCATAATGTTTATGCCCAATTCCATTGACACGATGTACTTGTTATCTCTTCTGGCTGCTATTTAGTTCCAGCCATATGAATGCTTTTGCACATTCTATAAAAGAGGAAAATAAAATCACTTATTTGCACTGAAAGGGGGTGCTTTTGAGAAGAGTGAAATCTAATAATTGTGAACAGGATATAAATGGGTTTCTGTTCCTAGGCTGAGAACATATGTTCTCGCGGTTCAGGCCTCTCAGTAGATTATATAATACACTCGTGCCATGTGCCGTGAGTAATACCCACGTGTAGCACAATATTATGAATCACCGGTTTCATAGGATCAGACGGGTGATTTATAGGTATAGGCATGAGACTAAGTACATATTGCCAATCCATAAATATAAAATGCTGGGATGAAATCAAATGTGGGCATCACCTAGAAATATCTACCATTGCATGCAACAGTCCTATTGCCAATCAACTGCTGGATAAGTACTCCACCATGCTCCTCACTGCAGTTTTGTAAAAGCGCGGAGAATATAAGTGCAGTACAACATCGTATTTTACTACAATAACAACCTCTGCTGCACACAACGTGTTCCAGCAGCAGCAGGAGTCTATAACGCCTGTTGTATACATGTGGTCACCCATCCATTCACTATCCAGGCTCAACCTTACTTAGCTTCCAATATCCATGAGATTGGGCTAATAAAGGGTGATTTGGCCTTGGGCTAGTTATTATGTATCGGTAATAACTACGGTATTCCCACAATGTCTATGCTTGCACAAACATGTATGTTTATTAATGTTTTCGCAACATCATCAGCATCAGCAGCAGACTTGCTGTGGCTGTCTTCTTACTCTTAGTATGCCCCATGGCACGCAATATAATTAGAGGAGAAAAACATTACGAAAAACGACGCTTGAAATTGAAATGCAATTGCATTGTAAACCGTGTAGGTGAGCTGAGAATACCAATGAGAGGCATGGCATTTAGCTTGCCCAACCTGGTCATGTCTGGTGGCGTTAACATTTTAAAGTGCAATTTCTTCTGAGCAGCAATACAACTGCTGTGTAAGTCGTTATATATTTTTTTATTTTTTCAGAGTGGATTTGAAATTGCTGTTGTGAATGCTGCTGTGGCTATGCCACATTGCACATTCCAAAGCATTGGTCTTTTTCGATTTAAAGCTTTCGTGACTGCAGGGATTCATCTTCTTGGTTCTTTCGGTAGAGTCACGTAGAATGGAAATAATAAAGTAATAAAAATAAAACATAATAAAATAAATATTTTATTATATTATTAATAATAAAAAAAAACATAATAAAATAAATATTTATTATATTATTTTATTATGCTTTATTTTTATTATTTTATTATTTCCATTCTACGTGACTTGACCGAAAGAACCAAGAAGATGAATCCCTGCAGTCACGAAAGCTTTAAATCGAAAAAGACCAATGCTTTGGAATGTGCAATGTGGCATAGCCACAGCAGCATTCACAACAGCAATTTCAAATCCACTCTGAAAAAATAATATAATATACTAAAATAATAATATAAAAAAATATTTATTTCATTACGTTTTATTTTTATTATTTTATTATTTCCATTCTACATGACTTTACCGAAAGAACCAAGAAGATTGGTCTTTTTGTTACCAGGGGAGATGTTGCATGCCAGTCACTCGACTCATCGCAAACACAGCACACCAAACTCCTGCTGCCCTTCCTGATGTGCCACGAGTGTGGATATGTCTGGTCCCAGCAACTCGACATGAGCGAGCGTCAGCGTGGTATTTATCAAGCGAATCCTGACTCGAAGCCTCACGCCAGCCCAACATCTGGAACGTATTCTTTATGAATACAAAATTGCGGCCGAGTTATTATTTTATTTCTCTGTGTTTTGTTTTGGAATATTCAGTGATGGGAGTTAGGTAATTCATTCTCCATGGAGTAGATATGGCCGAGATATTACTCAATTAAATAATAACCACGGTTACTATACCATTTCCTCCATGTCCTGATTTCAATTATAGTTGTGATGAAAAGTTACAGTAATAGAATTAACTGATGTATCCACGGGAATCCTCAATCGCAATGTACAACCAGGGCCGGATGAAGGCACGGGGCTTTAGGGCAAAGCTCGCAACCGGGTACCCGATACCCGTACCCTACCCGATACCCGGCTACCCGTACCCGGCCGGGTACGGGTACCCGTTTGCGACCCTGGTGCGGCCGAGTACGGGTACGGGTAGACCGTGAGTCACTGGTGAGTAACCGTTTGTCACTCATTTCCCAACGTCTTGTCTCTTCTCACAATTCAAGTTCCTAGAATCAACCCACCCGTGCCTGCAACATGGCTTCATCCCAGAGGTCGCAATCAGGTACCCAATACCCGTACCCTACCCATACCCGGCCGGGTACGGGTAGGGTACGGGTACGGGTACCCGTTTGCGACCCTGGTGCGGCTGGGTACGGGTACGGGTAAGGAATCAAAACCCGTTTGCGACCTCTGGTGAAAAGTTATTTTTCATTTGTGAATGCCGAATTTCATTTGTTGTTTGCCTTGTAAAAATACATTTTATTTCTCTTTAACTTAGTTTTCCTTTTGAAAATATTACTGGGGGCCTCACAGTACCTGTAGCCCAGGGGCCTACACAATCTTAACCCGGCCCTGTGTACAGCGGATACCATTACCCAGCAGGCTTATCGTCTGCTCACCTATGTGATGGTGGTCACAGGGTATTGCTGACAGTCAGTGCAGTGGTCACACCTGTCATCCAGCATTTCGGCGGTGCGTTTGGTATATTGTGGTGATACCGTGCATGTGACAGCCACCTGCAGGGATATTTTGGGTGCCTAGCGCATCAGCAGAATAAGTAGGTCACTGACCTTCCCATACAGATGTTCTATCAAGTGCCATCCCCGACACATGCGTGGAGGTTTCTCCATTCACTTCAGTTTCTTCGCACACGGAAACAAAATTCTCAAAAGGGAGCCGATCAAAACATCCGAAGCAGGACCATACTGAAAATGTCTTGAGGCTTGCTTGAGGCTTTCCTTAGTAAGTAGAAGGCCATTATTTATAGAAATTATTAATTTCCTCCATACAAATGCTTGCCTGGGGTGTATTGCTCCTCCTACACTGTGCTGCCACAGAAGGCCTCTGACCCTGCAACAGTGAGCCAGTTCTTGCCGTACGAATGACGATGCCATGCTTATCTCTTGTACGTCGCTGTTATCGTGATGATTTCTGTTTGCTGTTGTTGTTGTTGATGGTGGCGGGCGGGCGGCGGTGACGGCGGTGGCGGCACGGGGTTGTGTGGTGCTGGGAGGCGAGGGGAGGCGGGCGGCCATACCTGCAGGAGAAAGCGAGGGCTCTCCGGCATGAAGGTGAGCGCCACGACGGCCGACACGGCGGGCAGGGCGCACACGATGACGAACACGCGCCAGCTGTGGAACTGGTACGCGGAGCCCATGCTGAAGCTCCAGCCTGCATGGACACGAGAAGAGATCCCGCGTTGAGCGGGAAGGGGGTTGGCAAGTGCTGTGAGAATCAGAATATGTATTGATACTGGAGGAATCCGATGAGCTGCAAAGCTCTTTTCCCATCCATGTCTAGCAGGGGCGGGTCGGTTGGTACCTGCCAACAAGGCCGGCACGGCTCGCACAAGACGGTTGTGTGGCCAGACAATGCTCGGCCGTCTTTACGTCTCCCCAGGTGACGACGCTTACACACCGCGATAGGTACTCGTTTAAGCCAGAGCTAACCTCGTAGGGACACCCAGGAATAACATAAAACACTGCCTGGACCATCACACAAAGGAAAGGATCACCCCGTAATAGACTGTTGGGCAAGTGCTCTTAGAGAGCGCCTTATACAAAGGGGGCGGGGGGGGGGGCAGGAGCACGCCCGGCCACGTTTGTCTCCCCAGCGCTGATGTACTTATTTGCGGTCGAAGTCAACCTAGGCGAGACTCGGGACAGGATCAGATATTCGCCGCCGATGTCAACCGCATCCAGAAACGATGCTCAGGTCACACGGAGCGCACTCAGCGCTGCGCAACATTTGCCCAAGCGAAGTGAAATTGCTCGCACAGCCTCAGCCGAATCGCACAACCAACGCAGTCAGCACGAGACCGACGCACCGGAGGCTCTATTAATTTTTGCACGAATCATGGCAATTCGCATTTTATGCATGCGCGCGTGCACCCGCAAACACATTGGGACATCATTAACCGCCCCTCGCTCGCAAAACAGATGGCACGAGCGAACAGCAACCACAAGACAAGCTCGCGGCACGCAGGGCTGATGCTGAGTCGTGAGTGTTTCCTGCACGCCATCAGATCGCAGCTGAGCGCTGCGAATTAATCTTGAAAAACCCAGAAAACTATTCCTCGCAAGGTGTTGCTGCACGTTCTATCAAGCTGTAGCATATGAGACAGTCTTATTTATTGCTCTACAAAAAAAGACAAGATTCTCCCCCACCCCCTTCCTGTGTAGCCTACGCTCTGTGGATGCAAGTGCTCACTGGGAACACCGATTGTGGCCACGACTGACGCATCAGGAGGTGATGTGGCCAGGACTGTGCCCGGCCACCTTTGTCTCCCCGGTGCTGACGTTTACATACCGCACCAGGAACTCGCTTAAGGCTGAGTCAACCTAGGGCAGAGGACGCAAACGGGTTTTGATTCCTTACCCGTACCCGTACCCGGCCGGGTACGGGTACCCGTTCCCTACCCGTACCCGTACCCTACCCGAAATGAGTGACAAACGGTTACTCACCAGTGACTCACGGCCTACGCGTACCCGTACCCGGCCGCACCAGGGTCGCAAACGGCTACCCGTAACCGTACCCGGCCGGGTACGGGTAGCCGGGTATCGGGTAGGGTACGGGTATCGGGTACCCGGTTGCGACCTCTGACCTAGGGGAGGCACAAGAGTGGCTCAGATAATTCCCGCTTCTTTCGAGTACGGCTGATGTAGACGCAGAGCAGCGACTACAATTTCACGTCCAGGCGGTCGCGCCGGATACCAGCGTCAGGAGCGGCGGAGTGTATCGCTGTGATGTCTCCTTCGTATTTGTGGATTGGGCCATGGCTAACATCAATTTCCACTGATGCGAGCCATGGCTGGTAATCCTAATTCGAACTCGGGCAACCGGGTTAGCAGCTGCACTACCGCTCCACCCTATAAAGACAAAGATAAAGATTCCCCCCTCCCCAGCCCATAGCCTCAACAGACTGTTGGGGCAAGTGCTGTTAGCGAGTAGCCCCTATGAAGGCGGCATGGCACACAATGCATCCGAACACAGACACACATAGCATGCTCCCAAACCTGAATGGATCACATTGCCATGCCACGTCCGTTCTGAAGCAGCGTCATCCCTCTTGACATTTTCCACTCTGATGAACATTTTTTTCATTTTGCTTTCAGAGGGCTGGAGTCAAGGAAATGGCAAGATGTTTTTTTTTATATATAAAAATGAAATCAAGGATTGAAATTTCACATTCAACCCATCCAGCAAAATTCATTTAGTCCAGTTCCATGTTTGTTTAAATTTCTGGACCAGTCTTGGATGTATTTTTGGTCACTATTGGAAATTATGAATGTACCCATCAGCTATCATTTATTGCAGAATTCACGAAAACTCTATTATTGATGCTAAAAATGGTGGTCTCATGTGTCCAATAAGTTGATAAACATGTGATATAATAATGTAATAATGTCATTTCGTTTTTCATGATGAGTCTCCAGATGCTCTTTTTCAGTAGAGTTATGCATTGGGATGTTTAGCCAATATTTCTTTAGTTTGTATTGCATGTGAGAGGTAACTGAGAAGACCCTCACGCAAGGCAGCATCATACTCAAAGATCAGCAGAGATGAGCTCATGAACCTACTTGCTCCACCTCCATCTCCTGACTAAGCTACAGCCCAGTGGGTTTGGGATTTTAACAAATCTGTGTATGAGCCGGACGCCCCTGTCTCCAAAGCGTTGGATTAAAGGCTTGCTCCACCTTGCCCAGCTTAATGTTTTGCATTGACAATGATAGCTTTTAAGAGTAAGCTTGTCATCTTCGTATTGTTTTCTAACCAGCATTGCCAATGTGATCCCACACAAACCAATGTGAAGCAACTTGAGTGTAAACATTGTCCAGCACCCTGAAATATACCCATCCAGTGAATGAATACTTCGGACCAAATTGCCAAATGTTAATGAATATTGCTCAAAATTTATACTTCCAGGGAAATAAAAATGTAATCCAACCAAGTGGCTCAGCGGTAGAGTGAGCGGCTTACAATCGGAAGGTTGCGAGTTCATATCATGGTTAGGGATGAACTCAGCCCATCATCCTTACACGGTCGATAAAGTGGGTACCACTTTTCAGGGGAAGTCAACAGTGGCTTCTCCTATGCATAGACTTACCCCCTAACGTAGGAATGTGGAATTGTTACCACTGTCTCAAGGCTGTAAAGAAAAGATGAACACCGCCTTCGATGATAATTTGAGCAAAAAATCATGTTTTACCTTTTTTTAAATAAACATTTATTCTGCTTAGGGTTTAGGTTTACTTCGCTACAAAGAACGATGAGGGGGGTAACCAATATTCAGAAGGGGAATAAACACTTCTGAATATTCCTTAATGTCAGTTCCCGGCGGGGAATTCACATTGGTTTCTGGGGGGCGGGAGAACAAATATTACAGGGGAATATTCCTAAACTAAACTTTTCTTTCAGAAGCTCAACGAAGTGACTTATAATCATGTGTAAATGTATAGCAGCCAAATAATCTCCTAACGTACGTTTCTAAACGTGGAGGGAAAACCCCGAGGACCTGGAGAAAAATCCACGTGACCACAGTGAGAGAGACACGCAAACTCCAAATATACAACAAGCGTCAGGGTCGAGATCGAACCCACGACCTCGTGTATACCAGGCGAGGTAGTTAACACCTCCTAGCCACCGTGACTTATTGAGCCTTGGCGGCGGGGGGGGGGGGGGGTGAGAGAGGGGGGCAGGGCGAATGAGAGAATGCGGTGGTGGGCCGTCTGGCGAGAGGGGGGCACGACGGCTGGGGGGGTGGGGGCAGACGGAGTGGAGGGGAAGGGGAGAGGGGGACAATGAATGATCGCAGGCGGCTGGGCGGGGAGGGGGGTGGGAGAACGTCAGCGCCTGGCCACCGGAGTCAGCACAAACCCCGTTATCTCCACGCCTCATTCCCTTTCACTTTCACCCTCGGCTGATTACGGGAAATTACACCATCCATCAGGGGGGACGGGACACGGGCCGGGTAGGTTATGTGCTGTTGTGGGTGGCTGAGGGGGGTGGGGGGGGGGGTTCGTTGGGGAGGGAGCGGTGGCGCACCGGTTAGCATGCTGCGCTGCGAACCGGGCGACCAACCAAGTTGGATTCTCACGAGCAACAGACAACGGTGACGACAATTCTGGACCTCCACTCAGTCGACTCAGCCTTAAATGAGTGCCTGCTGTGGTGTGTAAGCATCGGCACTTGAGAGACAAAGGCGGTCGGGCGTGGTGCTGACCAACGACCCCCATCGTGTTCCGTGGCAGCAGCCTTCGTAGGTGCTCACGAACGGCACTTGCCCCAATAGTCTGTCGAAGGCTATCCCCAGGGGATCTTTGTCTTTGTGTCGTCCAGGAGTCGGCAGCCAAAATAACAAGACGAGCCCTGTGGTGGTTTTTTTTTTCTTTCTTCGAATTCGGTAAGAAACTCAATATTCCAAGAGGCCGCAACGCACGTGGTGCATACGAGACGGTGGTCCTCCTTGATGAATAACGTCACGAAGTCAGGTCCTTAGAGAGCCGTGCGCGGTTCTCCGGAGCCGCAGGTTGCCAAGCCCCCCCGGTGTTGTTGGAGGGGCCACGGGGCGGTGGTGTGTGTGTGTGGGGGGGGGGGGGGGGGGTAGAGGCAAGGGTGGATCGAAGGGGGGCTGTGGGAGGCAGATCATCGATCTACTCGGCGGAGTCACGTCCCACGTGAGAAGCCGCAGATCCCATGGACCTCATCGACGCATCGACGCATGAACGGTAGTCACGGATTGAACGGGTGAATAACGATGAACACCCCACGCGTGATCTTGGTGCACGTCAAGTTGTGTTTACCTTTCTTGTATTTCGCACTCATATCGTCGATAATAGAGGTTCTTGTTTGAGTTAGATCGCGTAAATATACGTGTCGTTAAACCCGCCACCACACGACACAGATAATTAGTAAGGGTTGTAACGTAAACAGAACGTGGCAAATTCGTTACTAGCACAGCAACACACCAGTGTGTTGGAGAGCCAAGCCACAGCATTTACAATCTGAGTAATTACTAGCGAAACGTCTACTCAGATTTACGTGACAACCCTTACTAATTGGCTTTGTCGGGTGGTGGTGGGTTTAACGACACATTTATATATTTACGCGATCTAACCCAAAACGCCTGTATTATGGATGATTTTGGTCGCGAAAGCCTCCTCCGTGTAAAA